AAGCTATTCCATCTGCGAGTAGATAAATGGGGACTCCCGTTTAGATGGGAGGAACCGGCGGTGCTGCACGGGGGAGAAAAATACCAGTGCTGGCCGAACTCCGAATGCAGCCGGCACGAGCGATGATCGATGCGAGTGGTGAGAAAGATCTACGGAGGAGGAAAAAGCCTGGATGACCCCCTAGCTGGTCACATAGCGTAATAGATATATAGCGCTAACTGTAAAGATTTGTCACTGTTGGGTTTATATATGTACTTTGTGAGCCGCCCAGAGTTCCCCATTGGGATGGGTGGAGAATAAATCGAATGTATAAATAAAATAAATAAATAAATGGTAAACATTATGGTTTCCTAATGTGAGAGAATGATTTTTAGCATCTCCATTGAAAAACACACCTGAAGGAAAACAGGCAAAAATTGCATTAAAGAATGTATTAAACCATTAGTACAAGAAATATTTTAAAAGGTATCATGTTTTTTTTAATAACCTTCTTTCCCATATCTCACTAGAAAGGAAATAAATAGGTAATTTTGGTGAAGAAAATTTGTTGATGGTAAGGAAATTGAAGTAAATGGGCTGTTAATATATAAGAGCAAATGGACCTTACCTTCATTTGATTTGACACTTTTGTGTAAGACAGGCCAAAGGAAGGAAGTTATTTTGAAATTATTCTGGTCTTTTGCCCTTATGGTGAGCTACATTTAAATTTACAATCATTGGAATATAGAAATGAAATGCTTCAGTAAAAAGCAGTGACAGAGTGCTATGAAATGTTTTCACTAACAAAGTAATATATTTTCTACCAAGACCTGGCTGGTTTCTCTTCATTCTGTACTCCTTGCCTCAGCTGTAAGTCTAGGAAGGCTAGGTCCTTTTTACTCCAGGAACAATTACTTGACTTCTGATGAGTGCTTTATCTTTCTGCTGCCAGTAACATCCCTTTTTTATGGAGTTGCTATTCACAGATCTTACCAAGCTATTGAAGAGAGGTTCTCATAGTATTTTCACTTCTTTGCAGGGTACTTATACCATCTATGATTGTAGCACTTATTAGAAGTCATATTTACTATAGTTACCCAGGCATGTTTTCATATTCCCTAAAGATGTACATTTTCTTACCATGTTACCAGGCTGGGGGGTGGGGAGAGAGAGAGAGAGGTTACATTTGTTTGTTTGTTTTGTTTGTTTTTGTTTTTGTTTGTTCATTTATTTATTAAATTTATATGCCACCCATCTCCCCCAGAGGGTGAAACTTAACTATAGATTTGGGGTGAGACACCTGTTAAGTAGTAACATACAACTTAAATTCTTATTTATGGAAACTCTGAGAGATCACACTACAGTTATTAATTATTTAAAAGATTTATGTGCCACTCATTTTCTTAATGGCTCTCGGTGGCTTACAAATATACAATAAAATATGTAAAAACAAGATTAAAATATGAAATCCAAAACTAGTATTTAAAGTCTGACTAAATAAGTGTTGAGACACCTCCTAAATTGTAATTAGGAGGAGGTGTCATTCTCTGTCAGCAGCATTGTTCCTGAAAAGGGGCCCCACCATGAAGAAAATAGAATTAAAGTCAAATGCTTCCATAGCAATACTTTTATGAGATGCCACATTAGACCTAAGAGTGAGAGATGGATTATATGGAAATAGGCAGTTCAGAAGAAATTATGAGCACTTTGAATTGCATTCAGAAGGCAACCAGAAACTAATGAACCTGTTTCAACATATATGTAATTGTTCATAGAGACACCATACATCACTTGACCTAACTGGCCTAACAAAGAATGCCCTAGAATGGTCCATTCACTGAAATGAGGTCTCTCTCTTTCAGGTAGGGTTCCACCTGTATTATCAGCCAACGTGGATAAACAGGTCCTCCTTGACACTAAAATTTTGTTGCCAGCATCGTTGCTGGATCCACAAGAACCCCAGGCTGCAAATTTGTTTCTTAATTAAGATGTCAGCCCCATACAGAACAGAGTTATCTCCTTAATTATGAAATTCAGCTATTCAAATCAGCAACTCCATTTGCTTGAGTTTAGCTTATTCTCCCACATACAGTTATATAGATCTCAGAAAATATC